TTCAATCTACTTAGTTCGAGAAGGCTCACTTCAATCACTGTGATAAGAGGCAATATCTATGTGGCCATAAAATTCTGATAGCATGAGTAGAGCTGTTGGCACAGATGCCCTGGTAGTGTCTTTGCATATATGCCATGTGAAGGTCTTGATTTTCCTATCTCAATAAACAGGTTTGGTTTGAAGTTTTAAACATACAGATTTTGAACAAACAGGTGCAAGAATCCTAAAGTTCTAACTCCTTACTGTTACTACTAGCTATTGTAACTATTTTTAAGTAAAAAAAAAACTAGCTATATATATTTCCATATATATAATATATATACATGTATACGTACATGTATATATATTTTATATACACACATGTATATATGGAAACAGATTAGGTTGTAAAGATTTAAAGAAAAAACAAACTAGAAATCACCCAATTACATCAGGAATATCTTGAGAGTCAAGGTTCAGTTACACTTTCTCTGCAATTAAACACACTGCCAGCAAACAATACATATTTCATACATGAAATTGTTCTTTTAAAAAATCAGTAAAATACAATCTTTATTTTGTTGGCTATCATCTATTTAGTTTTCTTTCAAAATTCTTTGGTTCACATATTCTAATTCCCCCGGGAAGACTTAAGTTTTTAAGGTCAAGATCCATGTTTCTATTTGTTTTGGATTCAATTACTTTCAGAACTTGGAATAGAACAAATAGATAATCAAGGAATGCTAACTCTATCGCCAGATCTTAAAAATTACTGCATTACTTCAGAACAGATTTGTATTCTCATCTGCTTTAACAATGTTAGTATTTAATAAGAAATATATATTCATCTGTCCTTCGATGGGGATTACACCTTGTATAATAAAATATTAAATAACTAAATTAGTTTTAATACATCTATCATAGTAATCAGGAAAATGACTAACTAATGGAATAAGTTCCTTCAACGTTTTCATACTCTTATGCTCATAGAAAAGAAAATTCAGCGATTAGAGAGATAGCGTAATGGGTACAGCACTTGTCTTGCTTGTGGTTTAAGTAATCTCTAAGCACTGCTGAGCATCGTCTAAAACAAACAAACAAACAAACAAATAAAAAGACAGGCAATCTCGTCAAAAGTTGGAGAGAATGAAAATTATGACTTTCCTTAACAGTGATTTTTAAAAGTTGTTCTTTAGCAGTCTCAGTCACCTCTTTTTAAAAATAGTAACAGAAAACTAGTACACAATTCATCTATAGATCCTGTCAGCTTCTCAGATTTTATAGTGGTCTCTAAGACCCTCTATGTGATGAGACCATCCTCCCCTAGCTGCTTCTGAGCTATTGTGCTTGCTGCACGGCTTCCTAGCATCCTACAGCAATGCAGACACTCTGAATTGGCTAGTCCCCCACTTGCAATATGGTTCCACTAAAAAGGTGCCGGTCATGTCCTAAATACTCTTTGACCATGTAGTCTCCTGCTTTACTCTCTCCCTTAGTTTGTTTCCATAGCTCTTCCTTGATCACAGTATTTAATACATTGTCTTCATATCTCCCACTCACCGAATGCCTGCCTTAGATTTTTCTATGGCACATTTTACAATTTGGACTCGAGTTCATAAAAAAAACTACCATGTTAATACTATGGCATATTGTACTACAATAGTACAGTGAGTAGGGCTCTTGCCTTGCACATAGTCAGCCCAGGTTCAATTCCTGGAACCCCATCGGGCCCCCAAGGCCAGCCAGGAAGTGATTGTCTAGCACAGAGCCTAGCACCAACAGCTGTTGCCACCAAACCAAAACAAACATACCCAAAAAAGCACTATAGCATATATATATATAATGTATATAATACTAATAATACTGATTAATGAGTAAAATGTATTTTACATTTATCTTACTGAAGAAACTCATATTATTTACTAAGTACATATAAATTTTAGGAATGAAGCAATTTATATTAATGTGTTCACTGAATTCCTATTATCTAGATCAGAATCTGGCATTTATTAGGAGTTCAATTCAAATTTAGAAAAAGCATATGCAAGAATGAACCATAAAATAAACCTTTATTTCCACGTTACCATATATATATTTTTTATCTCACCTACATGTTAATAGGCATATTTCAGAAAGCATTTTAAAATGTCATAGTTAATGAAGACATACAGTTTAACTAAAATTGGATGCTCTTTTATTTAAAACACACTTGTCCTTTTAACTTACTCTCTCTCACAGTTGTTATTTTATGATTTAAATCAGTCAATACTGGGGTCAGTGCGATATTCCAGTGTGTAGGGCTCTTGTCTTGCACACAGGTAACCTGAGTTCAATACCTGGCAAGCCATATGGTTTCCAGGGCCTACCAGAGCCTGAGCACAGAGCACCAAGCCTGGAGTAAGCCCTGAACACAGTATTTAGTACACTGGGTATGCACCCACCAACCAAAAAAAAAAAGGAAGGAAGAAAAAAGAAATTTGTGAAGTCTTTGCTAGAATTTAAAAGATGGTTACTATTTAAAGAAAATGGATTTAAAACTCATGAGCTAAACTTTTATGAAACAAACTTATGGTCACCATATGAGTCCAGAAATGTCCATTACTTTCCACTCTATTTCATCTTTCATTGCATGCCTCCTATGACCCACAATTTTCATATTTCATGAACTCAGATTTTTTTATGAGACGTAACCTAAGCTTTGAAAAATCAAAAAAGTAATATAGTAATATAAGAAGAGTAATACATTTGCCCCAAGGTGCAGAATACCCAGTACCACATACGGTTCCCTAAGCACTAACAGGGGCCATTCCTAACCACAGAGACAAGAGTAAGTCCTGAGAACAGGTGGATGTGAAAGAAATCCCATCCACAAAAATATGAATGAACCTTACATAAAATGATACTTTCAGTTTATTATTTTATAGTATACAATACCATTATTTTATATCCCATGACCAGAATAGATAAATTATAAATATTTAATGACTATTTCTGAAATTTTGAACATTTTGGAGCCAAACTATGTGTAACTAAAATATTTAAAGCATAGCTAAAGTGACCACAACATTAAAGCACAAAACTATTTTAAAACTGAAAACATTTCAACATAAATGCTAGTATGTATTTCCCCATTTTTCCATTAAAATAAGTTTATATGAAGTTTAATATAATCCTATTTCTTTTTTTTCTTTTTGGGTCACACCCAGCAATGCACAGAAGTCACTCCTGGCTCGTGCACTCAGGAATTATGGGATGCTGGGAATCGAACCCGTGTCGGCCGTGTGCAAGGCAAGCGCCTTACCTGCTGTACTATTGCTCCAGCCCCTATCCTCCTATTTCTTGTGATTCAAATAAACTTTCATTTCACTACACATTTATCTTATTGAAAATTATTTTGTTATTTCACTGCTCAAACAGATTTTTCCTACTACTAAATCATTCTCAATTTATCTGTTCAGCATTATTCATCAGTAGTACTTGTACTGGTTAGTTTTATGCAACACCTTAGTTATCCAATCAAATGTTAACTGGTGTTGTTATCAACTTCCTTTGTAACTATAATTGAACTATGATAGTTGACTTTATGAGATTATCCTGAATAATAAGGATGGGCTTAGTACAATCAATTTAAAAGATTGAAACCAAAGCAAATACAGGATTTATTTTTGAAGGAGAAACTTCACCTGTGTTCAGATCTTGCCCAAGAGTTTCACATTCAGAGGCCCAAGCATAGCTCAGTGGCAGAGCACCTGCCTTATAAGCATCAGGGCAACCTGGCACCACCCCACAAGCTGAGCAGGATACTAGTGTTAATTGCTCTTTGTGAATGTGAAAGGGCTGGAGTGATAGCACAGTGGTAGGCCGTTTGCCTTGCAAGCAGCCAACATGGCCGACCTGAGTTCGATTCCTCTGCCCCTCTCGGAGAGCCAGGCAGGCTACTGAGAGTATCTCGCCTGCACAGCAGAGCCTGGCAAACTACCCATGACATATTCGATATGCCAAACACAGTAACAACAAGTCTCATGATGGAGACGTTACTGGGCCCGCTCGAGCAAATTGATGAACAACAAGAGGACTGTGACCATGAACGTGAAAACTACAACCAAGCATGTGATGTCTACTACCAGCAACATAACAGCAACACAGAGAGAAGGGAAGAAAAAAGATTTCAGTCTGCCTCTTCTGATAGCCTGACAGAAGGGTTTCAGTGTCACCAGACCAACCCCCACTCTTATGTACTCCACTACAAGAAACAAAGAATGTTTGTACGTATGCTTGTGTGTGTGTGTTCATAATACTTGCTTTATTTGTTATTGTATGATAATTATGTTCACTAAAATTGAAGCTCATTACTCTATTTCCAGTTTAGCTTTTATATCCATCTGAATTCATTCATTCATTCATCATCCTGTTATTCGTCGATTGCCTCAAGCAGGCCCCAGTAACGTCTCTTTCATCCTAGCCCTGAGATTATATTCAAGGCTCTTTAGGAGAATGAGACCCATCATTGTTACTGGTATTTGGCATATTTGGTACGCCACGGGGAGTTTGCCAGACTCTGCCCTGTGGGCAGGCTACTTTCGATAGCCTGCAAGTTTGTCCAAAGTAGGAATGAGATAATAAAATGTCATATCCATCTGAATATCAGAGCATTTGTATGTCTTAAAGCTTACTCATTGTTTTATCTCCTACAAGTCATGATATTGCAAATAATCTTAGTAACAGCCATCACTAGTTGAATAAAATATATGTATCACTTAAACAAATCATAAAGATTTTTTAATCTAAAAAGCTCATTTATTTGCAGAGAAAAATAACTTTCCACACTATATATGACAGTATGATATCATTTATATTTTTTTCAGGCTCATCTAGCAAATATATGCAATACATGACCAACCTTTCTAAGGACAATTTTGGATTACCAATAACAAACAAACAAACAAACAAATTCAATGACTGTTTTACCTTTAACACTAAACAAACTCTATAACAAGCACAAGTCACAAGGACCATTTTACCTTTGCATTATAGGGAATGTAATGTTTTGATAATGCTTCTGGTGTGTGCATCCATGTTTTGTCTGCAATTAAAAAGAAATACACCAAGTTAAATTAAATCACAGGTTCAAAGGGCATCATGTGCAAGCATTTGTAGGGATTCTGATAAGGGTGAAAATACTGAGTTTCTTTTGTTAAACTGAGAAACAATAACTATTCATTTATAAGAACAATGTCACTGGGAAGACATTATAAGGTTTTAATCCTCAGTATAAAGCTTCCAGATTTTCCTTTTAAAAGCTGTCAGAAAATACAAATAAAACAAAAAAAAAATGAGAGTCCTGAGAGGTAGTACATGGGTTAGGGTGAGACCGACGTTCAATTTCTTGTATCACATGGTCCACCAGAATAATCAAGAGACCCCCTCAACACTGTCTCTGGCAGTGGGCCCGGCGGGGAGGGGCTGCTAGTGGGACCCTGTGTCTCAGAGTCTGAGCTCAATGCATTCTGACCCCCGAGCATCAACATTTGGTTTATGGTCAGGTGTGGCAGTCAGGATCCATAAACACCTGCTGGGGGAGAGGGGTCATCAAAAATCAGTTGAATGATGAGTTAATTACATTATATAATATTTTCCTTCTATATAAGTAATTTTTCATGAAATAAAGGCGATTTTTATTAATTCCCTGGTCAATAAAATTCAAGTGCTCTTTAGTCATTGTGATTATATTATTCTTTTTTTAAAAATTTATTTTTTATTAGTGAAACACCATGAGGTACAGTTGTAGACTTACAAGTTGTTGTGCTTGGGTTTCAGTTATACAATGATCGAGTACCCATCCCACCACCAGTGCCCATGCATGCAAGACAGAGCCTGCTGACTCAACTATCTCCAGTCTAAAACAACTAAATATTTTTTTAAAAAAAATAATATACAATTAGTATAATTTCTAAGTCTAAATTTTAAGAAATATTGATTGAGGGGCTACTCTCAGGAATTTGGAATATAAATCTTAAAAAGAAGTAATCTGAAATGTTGAATAGATTAGAATAGTAGAAAATTGGAAACCAAAGTAAATAAAGGGATAACATACTTCAAAACTTTATTCATATTAGATATTATTAATACACATATAAAGTATATTTTATTCATTTTTTGAACTTATATATTCCATAGACCTCCCCAAATAATCTTTGACTTGTATAAACAAATTTAAAAAACAAAAAAATCATATTTATACAATTTAATGTTACTATTTCAAATTTTTAAGCAAAATTTTTTAATCTTCAAGTATGTGTCAAATATAAGACATGTAGCTCCTTAGGGTAATTATGTCCTTAGTCCTAATAGAAATTTTTAAAAAGTGTCTGATCAACACTATAAAAAGAACATAATCAAAGACATCTTACTATAAAAATATAGAATAAGAACATATTAAAAAATATATGATTAGTGATACAGTATTTTCAGCATTTACTTCAGAACATTTAAAATAGTGTTGATAGAAATTTGCTGTCTATCAACAGCAATATAGCTCTCGGCATGATTTTTTCAAACTCAAGGAATGCGAAGGCATAGAATTACTATATTATAGGGATTTCAATTATTTTGTATCACTTTAGGGATGACAAAGTGTTTATTTTAAACATATTTATGTTGTACAAGAACAATGACAAGTATTTCTATAACTGAAAAATGAGGGATAAAAGAAATTCCAAGCCTATGGTGCATTTGGGTGTTATTTCTGAATATTGAAATGGATATAGTAGCTGTACTAGCTTGGGATACTTAAGAGAGATGCATTCTAAGCTTCAAATAGCAATACTGGCATACTGTGTAAACATTTATTTTATCAGTTGTCAGTTTAATTACACTTTTTAAGATTCCTCTTGATAATGATATAGTAATTTAGTAATATTATGTACTTAGATTTGAAAGATAGTCTTACCTTTCTATACTAAAATGTATCACAGTGCTGTGCTATTGACACAGAGAAGGGAGCACCAAATAAAGGGTGTTTGGAGGATCCTCGCAGGATGGGAGAAGCATGCTAAAAGTAGACTATAGACCAAATATGATTGCCACTCAATGCCTATTTTGCAAACCATAACACCCAAAAGGAAATGCCCTGCCACAGAGGCAGGGTGGGAGGGATACTGGGATCCGTGGTGGTGGAAAATGGGCACTGGTGGAGGAATGGGTATTTGATCATTGTATAATTGAAACCCAAGCACAAAAATTTGTAAGTCTACAACTGTACCTCATGGTGTTTCACTAATAAAAATTTTTAAAAAATGTATCACAGTATCACTTCTCAGCCTTTTGGCTAAGATCAAGTGTAAAAGGTATCACAAAACATTTTGTACACTGAAACAATAAAAACACCAAAAATATGCCTTTCAGAAACCTTAAAAAGAAATTATTTTTTTCCAGTCCATAAAGATCTACTCTTCTCATGTCTTCTTTTTCAATAGATACGTCATGGTTCAGGAGGCTGTAAAGCCTTGCGGAAGAATCAAAGTGCTGGTTCAAGCCAATCGGAGGCAAAGTAATACTACTATTTCCTCTGGTGCTACTAAGAGAAAACCAATGGCAAGGCAGCTGAGATAGAAAAGGGATCACTAAGTCAATGATGATTGGAGGAATAGTTTGGGATGGGAGATGTGTGCTGAAAGTAGATAAAGGACCAAACATGATGGCCTCTCAGTATCTGTATAACAAACTGTAATGCCCCAAAGCAGAGAGAAAGAGGGAAACTGTCTGCCATTGGGGAGACGGGGATGGGATAGGGGGGTATACTAGAGACATTGGTGATGGAAAATTTACACTGGTGGAAGGATGGGTGTTCAATCATCTTATGACTGAAACTCAAACAGTAAAACTTTGTAATTGTATCACATATCTAGTGCTGGTGGGTTAGTGGGTTGTTCATAATATTCTCCTAGTATATGAAAAGTATATACTATATCTGAAGAATTTCAAAAACAGTTCCTTACTGTCATACTAACTTATAATTTGACAACTTAAAAACTACAATGAGGGGGCTGGAGAGATTGCACAGCGGGTAGGGTGTTTGCCTTTCACGTGGCCGACCCGGGTTCGATTCCCAGCATCCCATATGGTCCCCTGAGCACCGCCAGGAGTAACTCCTGAGTGCAGAGCCAGGAGTAACCCCTGTGCATCGCTGGGTGTGACCCAAAAAGAAAAAAAAAAACTACAATGAAACCTTTCATATTACTTTATATAGACATGGCTGACCTTGAAGAACAAATTCAGGTGATGTCCCTTTGTACCTACTCATAGTACTTAGACACATTAATAGAACTGGAGAAGAAATATAAATAAAAGTATTTTCTAACAGAACTCCCTCTTGATTTGAAACCATATCAACTAATTCAAGAATATTTACATACAGGATAATTGTAACATTTTAAATTATTTGACAATATCAAACTACTCTGACAGATCAATCATTATAGGTGCCTAAAGGCTCACTAAGAAAGGTGTAGTAACTTTGCAATTTTGAGTTAATAGCACATAACATAATGAAAACATCTACTTAAAGTCTTACAATGAAAATTAAATGTTGCTGAATTAAAACAGATGCTTATAAATGGATCATAAATAGAAAGATCGTGTTTAATTGATGAATTTTAGATGCTTTGTATTATATCTATTTCTCACTATGTCAATTTATAAGTTAAAGAATACAAACATAATTAGTTTATTTTATGCCTTAAGAGCAATTTTATCTATAGGATTTTAAAATAAATTAATAGATTATAGGAGTTAAGAAATCCAAAGACAAAGGTACCATACTGAGAGGAACTACAAAACAAATATACTCATTTAAGCAATCTACTTATGAGCCTTGACCCATTTTTAAGAAGCTCTTCAAAGTAGTTAAAAATAAATGCAACTCTTAACATACTCGTCTTTTCCTCAGAATCTTTAAGAGTTTCTAATATGATTACATTATTTAAAAAGAAAATAAATGAAGTACTTAATTAAATCAAAGTGGCAAATTTTAAATTGGGTGAGTTAAGAAAAAAGAAACCATTGTGTATACTAATCTCTTTTCTGAGGTGTAGGGTGATTTGGTGATGTTGCATGTGCATCCTAAAATAAAGGGAATGTCAATGAAGTAAGAAATAACCTTTTATTGACAGAAGACCATTGTGCAAGTTTATAGACTACAATACATAGTGCATTTTGAAGCTAGTTATTGGAAATAGAACTAAACTATATAAACTCTAGGGCTATAATTACTGATTCTGATTGTTAAGCTATATAATTTTGCTTATAACATTTTATATTTTATTCTTAAATTATAACTCAACCAAGTAGTCCTATTGATTGACACTAGAAGCAGAGGTTCTGAGAATTTCTTTCTTTAACAACCTCATTAAGTGAGCAAGTCAAAATTGATTGGTGAACAAAGGAAAAACTTTAAGTACCAATTTCTAACTCAGAATTAAAGTAACATATTGATCAATAATTTCCTGATAAAGACATTCAATCATTAGGAAAAAAGAAGTTGAAAAAGAGAGAGAAAGAGAATGAGACAAGCAAAAAATAACAAGTGTGAGTTTCTAAATTATTCCAATTTTCTTCTCAGTTGTAACACCACTTTCTACAAATGAGACAAATACATAATTTTCAGTTGCTTAGTATTTTTTAAAAAATGACCATTCCTCTTTACAATGAGTAAATTAGAAAAGTGGAGTTTCAGCTCTAAAACCACAAGAAAAGGAATTGGAAGAAAATGAAAAAAAAAAGGAAACTTTGAAGTGTTTCTAATATAGTGTAATTTATTATAAGGATTTTATTTATCTATTAAAATACAGTGTGGCTGTCCTTAGACAGAATAGAGAAGGGATCAATATGTCAATGATAGTTGGAAATGATCACTCTGGACAAGAATTGGGTGCTGAAAGTACATAAAGGGATATGCATGATAACCTTCAGTACCTGTACTGCAAATTGGCAAATCGTAATGCCCAAAAGAGGAGAGAGAGAGTGAAAGAGAGAGAGAGAGAGAGAGAGAGAGAGAGAGAGACAGACAGACAGACAGACAGACAGACAGACAGACAGACAGACAGAGGGAGAAGGAAGGTGCCAGTCATAGAGGCAGGATGAGTGGGCGGTGGCAAAATGGAAACTGGGGACACTGGTGATGGGAAATGTACACTGGTGAAGATACAGGCACTGGAACATTGTATGACTGAAACCCAATCATGAACAACTTTGCAACTATGTATCTCATGATGATTCAATTTTTAAAAATACATATATAGATCAGGTAATTATTTCCAGGTATTTTACTAGTAAAATGAATAAATACATTATTTTATTTTTTTAGTATATTTTTGAATCAGGGCAACTACAAACTACAACAAGTTATATTTTACCTTCCCTTTATTTGGAAAAATAAAGTAATAATAAATTTCTTGGTGTCCTCTGTTTAAAAAGTGTCAATAAGCCACTTTTCCTAAATCAAATGAATTAATCCTCTGTAACACATTCAAATGTTGAATAACTCTCTATTCTATAACAAAAGCAGTTAGTATATTTTGAGTAATTCCATTTTATTCTGCACGTTTTGGATGTTTCACCTACATTAAACTAATAGTCATATATTTTTACATCTTTTTGTTCCTTATTAAACTGAGTCCCAGTACAAAATGACAGCTCTTAAAACACGAAAAGACCACACCAACTATTCCCAGCCACTCTTTCTATTGTATGGTCAATAAATTCTGGTTTGGAAAATAATATTCTACTGTTTTGAATATAATAGCACAAATCTTCATGTCTTGGGTATAGAATGTTCGTTATTCACACACCTGACACTATCAACTGAAACCCTTGAGAATCACACCATAGATTAATCTTCATTTTTAGTCATATAGCTCATAAGGATCGTCTTCCTGAATTACAATTAAGTTGAATTACAATTAAGAAGTTAAATTATTTTTTGAACCTGTATTTGGTAATTTGCTATCTTAAACTTATGGTGTGAAATAGATGCCTCACTGACCATTGCTGCCCTAACCCCTCATACCAGTAATCCTACTATAGTAATGCTCTTCCTGCTTTCAATCATCTACACACTTGCTTAACATGTCTAAATATTTTCTCCCAATGCACTTATATATGTCAAATGAGAGGCCTGTGCCCAATGGCAGAGAAGCCCTCTTATGATACGAGGATACATTATTTTAAATTAACTGAACTGGGTAAAATATAAAATTTTTCTCTTTGTTTTGAGTGCACCATGAAATATTTTGTCAAATATGTTCTCTTGCCCCTTTAAAACAAAATGTAACTCTTTCTTTTATTCCTATGCTGATAACTATGATACATTACACTTACATTTAAAATTCTCACCTTGAAATTAATGACGAGCATATTTTTATTTCATTTCTAATAGTTCACCTTATCATTCAAATATTATTTAATAGGGGTTGGAGTAATAGCACAGTGGGTAGGGCATTTGCCTTGCAAGCAGTTGACCTGGCTTCGATTCCCAGTATCCCATATGGTCCTCTGTGCACTGCCAGGAGTAATTCCTGAGTGCACAGCCAGGAGTAGCCCCTGTGTATCTCCGGTGTAACTCACAAAGAAAAAAATAATTAAAATATATATATATATTATTTAATAAAATGTGAAGTATGGAGCTTCTTCCAGCCCTAAAACCCATACAAATGTGAATTTAAAATAACTGTAAAATTTGTGAATGAAGGAAACTTTAATATTATATGGCTATAGTAGTTAAAATTTCAGATCATTTTGGTGGTCGGGATAGGGCTGGGGCAATTTCTTACCACAGAACAAAATAGCCAAAGAACATGATATCATTATGTCTTCTAAACTAAGTTTATTATCTCCACTCATTATTATTGATCTGACCAGCAAAGAAGGTCAGTTAGCAATGTTTGAAGGTTAGCATGCTCAATTCTAACTTTATTTCTGAGTCATGTAGTTGATAATGGAAAAAAATTTGATTTATTAAGATCTCTTCTTGAATATCATAGCAACAATAAATTGGTTTCCAGGTCCTTTAAATGAGTACACGTACCTTTCTTCCTGCTAAAAGCACGGTTCATGATGAAGAACAGTCAAGCAGAGGTTCAGTTCAATCACAATTTATAGCCTATAAAAATAACAGTGTATTAATTAATGCTTTATGCAAATAAATGTTAACCTCTTTAATGCAACTACATTTTAACCACAAACCTTTTTCTTTTGCGAAAATATCTATAGACTGTATTTTGAAATGTTCCAATGTATACCATGTAAGAATAAGCACATGCTAATATCAAGAGTGGCCTAGAAGATATAACCAATAGTTCAAATGAAATTCTTTCAAAGTTCCTTGATTTTCTTATTGTACAACTAGAGCGATAGCACAGCGGTAGGGCGTTTGCCTTGCACGCAACCAACATGGCCAACCCAAGTTCGATTCCTCCGTCCCTCTCGGAAAGCCTGGCAAGCTACCGAGAGTATCTTGCCTGCACGGCAGAGCCTGGAAAGCTCCCCGTGACGTATTCGATATACCAAACACATGCCAAACACAGTAACAACAAAGTCTCCAATGGAGACGTTACTGGGCCCGCTCGAGCAAATCAATGAACAACGGGAGGGCCTTTACCTTTACCTTTACCTTTAGTATTAATTGTATCTACCTACAAATTAAGGAGAAATAATATCAATATGTTTGCCTTAGCAAGTCAGTAACAAGTTTGGTAAACCTTTGGGCTGGTAATAATATACAGTAGATAAACAGAAGCTTTCCTACAATAACAAGTGAAATCATGCTCCCCAAGTTCTGTTGGCTCTCTGCCTGGGCAGCTGCTACCCGGTCTGTCAAAACAGGTGATGACATTCTATCCTCTTGAAATCCAGAATAGGTCTGATGGTCTTTGAATTAACTTTGGGATCATGTATCCCTGATCTTGAAAAATTTCAAGACTTCAGTGAGCTCTATGGTCAGATATTGCCGGACCTAAGAAGTGCAGCAAGACTTCCCTCACTTCATCTCCTCTCAATCACTTCAGTTCCAACTGGCAGTGCTTTTGCTGAGGTAGCTAAGTAGGCCTGAGATTAATACCCAAGCTAACCCCCATCAAATGGTTGTTTGGCCACATCCTTGGTGCACTAATGTTAAATGTATAAGCTGACAAATTTTCAAATTGCTAAGTACTTATTTCATTTTACAACACAAGTCCTTCTTTAATTCATTTCCTTCTTGCCTAGTGCTGGAGCGATAGCACAGCGGGTAGGGCGTTCGCCTTACAAGCGGCCAACATGGCCGACCCGAGTTCGATTCCTCCGCCCCTCTCGGAGAGCCCGGCAAGCTACCGAGAGTATTCCATATGCCAGACACAGTAACAACAAAGTCTCCAATGGAGACGTTACTGGGCCCGCTCGAGCAAATCGACGATCAACGGGAGGGCCTTTACCTTTTCTTGCCTAGTACTATTAATCACTTTGAAGGAACCAAGCCCCTCCTTCAAAACTTTGCTTAGAAATTTCATCAGGCAAGTAATCAATTCCATCACTCCCAAATTATTCCCTTCTCAAAATACTAAAATGCAAATACAATACTAACAAGATCTTTGCCACAAGGATCATCACTTCTCTAGGTTCAATGCCATGGTCTTCATTTATATCTCAGACTATCGGAAAGCAATTTACCAGGCATATATCTACTGATATTCCGTTCCTTACTGTTTGTGTTTTTGCTACAAAGATGGAGATGTTCTCTCCAGGTTTTCTCTTATCTTTTTGAGCACTAATCAAAACAACAGTCCCTTCACAGAAGTATTAGCATCTTCTAGCATATATCTTTTAAAAATAATTTAAATCTATACATTACCTAATAATAAAACTATTTCCATAGTTTTGATATTTACTAGAGTAACAGCTCACTTCTAAATATCAAATTCTCTTTTAATCTGGACTGCCTTAACAAAATACCATACAAGTGAGTGGTTTAAACAAGAGATTTGATTTTCTCACTGTCTGATCGTTTGGAAGACTGAGATCAGGGGAAGATGGCCTAGTTCTCACAAGAGCTCTCCCCTTGGCTTGGAGACAGTCACTTTCTGACTGCATCCTCACATGACAGAGATGGCACTACACGGTCTTGCTCTTCTTATAAGGACACTAATCTCTCATGGGACTTTTCATGAGAACAACTATGCAAATTAATTCCCAGAGGTCCTCTCTCCAAACACTACTTTTATTTTATTTTATTTTGCTTTCTTGGTCACGCCCAGTGATGCACAGGGATTACTCCTGGCTCATGCTCTCAGGAACTACTCCTGGTGGTGCTGGGGGAACCACATGGGATGCTGGGAATCAAACCCAAGTCAGCTGCTTGCAAGGCAAACACCCTACCCGCTGTGCTATCGCTCCAGTCCCCAAACACTACTTTTATAGATAACTGTGTCAACATAAAATTGGGGCTCATGATAGGATGGCTGACATACACACACACAAAAAATCAGTCCTTAGCACTTTCTGCAATTCGACATAGCAATTAAAATACATTAAATCAATCTTTATCAAAAAGTTATTATTGTACTGGAAGAGCTATATCTATCCCCGCATTTCTACTTACAAAAAAAGGAATTGAAACATTTGATCATGTTATAACTACGTACTGATGTGTAGACTTAGACAAAACACATTACTATTCTGATGTTCACTAAACACTTTATTCATCTTCTCTAAGACACATCATTAATCCAATACTGAACATGCATTTTTAGAATAGCAAAATAATAACTTCAGGTATATTAACAATTTTGTAATCTATTTTTTTACTATGGTGTAAAATATTTTTATACAGGGATAATTAAAACAATTTCATTTTTTACAGATAATTGATTTACTCATAAAATAGTTTTGCTTTGGGATACAGCTCAGTATTAGAGCACAGTTAAGTGAGACTTAATGAGACTCTGGGTTCGATGACCAGTTTACAAATCAAATCCCCCCCAAAAAGCATAAAATATTTTTGATCAAAAGTGCCAATTACTCTGCAAGATGCAAAGGAAAATAACGGAAGTAAATTATATATTTTACTCTTCTGAATGTTTTTTTCCTTAATTTTTATGCTAAGAGATATGATTAGTGATTGTGTATCCTGGAGAAATAAGGGAAAGTACAAATCTACCTGCAAGAAGTACTGGGGCTCAGTGTTTGAGCACTTGCTTTGCATGTGGAAGGCTCTGGGTTCGACCCAGTACCACATGGTTCCTAGTCACTGATGGTTGTGCCCTAAAACAAACAAACAAACAAACAGAACTACCAGAAAAAGAAAAAACAACTCTCCAAAGATTAGATTCAACTTTCCTTTTCCAAAAATGTAACCAAATACTATTGAGAGTATTAGTCAGCAGGTTAAATTCAGTAGCTCCTCTAACACAACTTTCAGGTAAATAAGTAATAAAATATAAATAAAATAAATAGAATAAAACATAAAGAAGTATAACATAAAATATTAAAAAGTACATACATAATTAAGGGGGTCATATCCAATGGTGGTCAGGGGTTACTCCTGGCACTGTGCTCAGGAATCACTCCTAGTGTGGCTCAGGGGACCATAATGGGGTGTCTGGGATTGAACCCGGGTTGGTTGTATTCAAGGCAAATGCCCTACACACTATACTATCATTTCGGCCCCTTGATATTTTAGTTTTTAATTACAAACAATAACACAGTGCTGAAAAGTACAAAAGTTAAGGTACCGGTCTTGCAAAGAGTCACTCGTATTCTATCCTGAGCACCACCAGAAATGATGCCTGTGCACAGAGCCGGAAGTAAACTTGAACAAAGCAGGGTTTGACTCCAAGACAAAATACACCAAAAATCATTGGCTTTGAGAAGACTTGCAGAAAGAATTTTTTTTAAATGGAGTTGGAACAATATTACATAGGTCAGGAATTTGTCCTGTACTTAGCCAACCCATTTATAAAGCTCAGTAGGTCAATAAAGGGAATGGAAAATGCACTGCAACTCTATGACTCTAAATCATCAGAGGATTCTTGGTTTGTGTGTTTGTGTGTGGTGTTGAGGATGAGACACATGTAAAGCAAGCACTCGACCCACATTCTCAGCAAGATTTTGGAGGGGAGAGAAGAACCACACCTGAAGGTGTTCAAAGGCAACTCCTGACTCCCTGCTCACAAATGACCTCTGGTGGTGCTCAGGGAACCATGTGTGCTGTGGGGGATCAGAATCAGGGTTGCAGCTGCAGCAAGAGCCTGTAGGGACAGCACCTCATCTCATATAATATCTCTCTGCCACTCCGGAGGATCTTCATGTGCTCAGAAAATGCAAAAGGTCAATGAATCAGATTCATTCTTATCAAATACATGAAAAATACTGTAATTTTACTTTCTAAATACTACTCTAGTGTAATTATTTAATCCAATAATACTCTACATTTGTTTATGTGATAAATTCTATTTTCATACTCAAAAATAAGCAGATGCTACTACTTTTTCTTTGTGTTTATATAAAATGTATAATGCAAGTGTTATATACAGAGCCTGCCACTAAGTTTTCATTCAACATACTGCAAGGAGTGATAGCACAGCGGTAGGGCGTTTGCCTTGCACGCAGCCAACATGGCCGACCCGAGTTCGATTCCTCCGCCCCTCTCGGAGAGCCTGGCAAGCTGTCGAGAGTATCTCGCCCGCATGGCAGAGCCTGGCAAGCTCCCCGTGACGTATTCGATATGCCAAACACAGTAACAACAAAGTCTCCAATGGAGACGTTACTGGGCCCACTCGAGCAAATCGACGAACAACGGGAGGGCCTTTACCTTTTTTACCTTACTAATAATATGCACTAGACTATATTTGCAATAGGAAAAATAAGACACATGACTATAAACCAAGTAAGCTAATAGGTTGAGAAATAAAGTTCCAGGGGCCAGGGAAATAGCTCAAAAGCTAGAACACCTGCTTTGTATGCTGGAGTCCCTTATTCAATCCCTAGCACTGTGTGGAACCCGAGCAGAGCTGAATGCGACTCTCCCCCCAACTCCAAAAAACTGTCACTGTCACTGTCCTCCCATTGTCCATCCATTTGCTCAAGCAGGCCCAGTAACGTCTCCATTGTGAGACTTGGTGTTACTGT